AAAAAAAAAAAAAAAAAAAAAAAAACTAAAATAAAGACAGAATAAAAATTAGCTGAAAGACATCTAAAAACTAATCCCAGCTTTGTAGAAAGAACTAGAAGAGATTTGTTGTACAGATTCTAGCTGCGATGGCGACTAAAGCAGCGTTTTGTCTCGATCCTTATGTTAAATCTTAATCTTATTTTATCAGCAATTTAAAAAATCTCCTCTTATTGATGGATGTGGCATGTGGAGAATAAGTGAATGAGATTTTGTTAGTGGTGACAGGTTGATTGTTTTGCACAATGGCAGTTTTCAGGCAACACTTGGGCTTCAGGGTAAAACATATCTATTAAAACACTGCTCTTTTCCTGTTTTTAATGTCTCACGCAAAGCGAATAAATCAATATATAACATAAAACGCACTTCAAATTTAGTGGAAGGATTCAAAATGCATTTTTAGATAATACTTTGACTTTACTAAGAACATACGGGACAATGACTTTGAATTGAAGAACTCTGATTGGACATTGTGCGTTAACTTGGCTTGTGATAGGTTGGGAAGGAAGCTATTTAAGAATTTTTTTTTTAATAAAAAAAATTTATTGGAAAAACTATTGAAAATTATTATATTATATATGCTAAAATATTACTAACTTAATAGATATAAAAGTTTGAAAACCCATGCGATGAGTGATAAATATTATTTTAAATTGAAAGATTAAATAACTATTCGATTCTATTAAGATTATTTACAATTTGAGCATTGCCTATATCATGGTTTAACTTCTTTAATAAGAATAAGAATCGCATTACGATACCAATGACCATGAAGAAGGCGAAGACTAATATTTTCTCCCTTTTGATATTTACTTAAGATACATGAATTCTCATTCGATCGACAATCAATTGATTTTAATTTCGAAGCTACTCGTGTAAGAGTTTTTTTTCCAATCATGTTTATCGCGCGGCTCTAATTGCAAATGGCAATCGCTAATGGTGGAGCAAAGAAACACATTAGACGTCGTCATTTAGGTTGCCGTATCGACGAGAAGCACAGCGGGACACCATCTGCGCTTCTGATTGTCAAATGGTTCCATTATAAGATATTTTTTTACTGACCGGAATGAAGAACTGGTTAGTAGCGGTAATTTGATGCAATTTCATCCGGTAACATGCAGCGACAGATAATTTAAACGATGGATTTGAAAGAAAAAAGCGAAAACAATCACTGGTGCATGCCAACGATAAAACGAACCGATATCAAAGTGTCGGCAAGTGAAAAAAGCATTCAAGATACTAGGTAGCCATGCGAGAGTAGGAACGAAAACTAGTTGATACTGCGATATCTTGCGCGTTCACAAGCAAAGCGATAAGAAAGATTGGTTTAGAGGTTGAAGTCAGGCCGACAAAAAACATTTTGGCAAATTACCAAATAATGGGCCCTTCTCATCCATCCATCCACGATACTTTTAAAAATGGGTCCATTCGGCATAAGAGAGAATACTGTCTCCGTGTTTCGTTTTTAGGTGGAGACAGTTCAGTAATGCACAAATGTGGCTGTCTCAAAGCGTTTGTTGTTGTTCGCCTGTGTATTAAGAGGTATTGCTAATCAACGATGGACAAATAGTTCGTAATCAGGGTTTTATAAAATTCTAAAGAAACTGTTTGATTGCGAGATGTGAAGATCCGGCTGTTTAAAAGAGTCGGGCGAAATCCAAAGGAAGACTGGTTACGACCACGTGACGCGTAGGATTGTAGAACTTTATTTGGTGACGCGATATAAAAGCACCGCCATCTTGTGTCCCTATTCCCAGATTCCGTCCCACCATCCTATGCGCATGACTTTTAGTAAATAACACTTATTTTGCTTCATTTTCAATTGTTTTTTTAGGCCAAGTACCGAAGAAGTACAAGAATGGGCGAAATCGTTTGAGAAGTTACTCAGCAGCAAAAGTAAGATAAAAAATGTTAATTATCGAGTTATCTTTATCGTCTTTTTCATGTGCAAAAACAAAACGTGTCTTCCAATGCAATGTGTCTTTATTCGAGGTAAATGTGTATCATCTTAGTAAGGAAGTAAAAGCAGGTTTATGATGAATTTAAAAGACATAACCACGCTTTTTAAGACCATGATTTATTCAGAAATCTTTTGTGTACATAAATTAAGTGCAGGACAGATTGTTTCTTTATTGTTTAAATAGATCTGTCATGCGCTTGATTTATGTACACTGAAGATGGAAGGTGGTTATGTCAGTCATGTATAAGTTCTCATCGGCTTTACCTCTTTAGACACTCAATGCCGCTGGCACTGAATATAGACAACAAAAATTTAAGTTCATGTGACTACGTTGACGATAAGCCTTTTGTCATTGAAATACGATTTATTTACTATAAAGCGTCCGCACTGTGCTCCGTTCACTAATAAAGCACAGTTTTCGACCAATCAGCGCGCACGTACTTTCATAATTTTATAATACAGCGCTATAAAGCTGACATGCTGAACATTATATGACTAGCAGGGGGAAATTACTAGTGATTTTCCCCTGATGCATGATAAGCATCTTAAATGGCAATAAATCGAGTTGTATATATAATAGGGAATATACAAATAACGATGGATATTCTTTTCTGTTCTTTACAGGTGGTATCAAACTTTTCCATGATTTCCTGAAGAGCGAATATGCAGAAGAAAACCTCCTATTCTGGCTGGCAGTTGAAAAACTTAAAAAAGAGACAGAACCAGGCAATATTAAAAATCTAGCACAAATGATCTATAATGACTATGTGTCTACAGAATCGCCCAAAGAGGTTAGTTAACACCTATCGCTAAGAATGTTATATTGCTCTGGGCACGAGATTGTTTTAAATGATTTCCTCCGTGGCTTATACTGTTGGAGTTCCTGTGTTTTTGTTTTTTTTCGTGCCAAAACGCGCATGACAAAAGACCTGATAAAAAAAACTGATGACAAAGTTATTGCCATAGGTACACCAATATGGTGGGCTGACGTCATGCGAAAGCGTTATATAGTATGCTTGAAAAATGGGTGAAAATACGGCGACTTATATAGATTTATTTTTGGGTTTCAGGTAAGCATTGACCACAAGACAAGACAAGTAATAGACAACGAAATTGCTCATCAGCCAACCCAGTTTACCTTCGACAAGGCACAACAACATGTTTACTATGTCATGTTTCAGGACTGTTACCCTCGATTTTTAGTCTCTGCTGCAATGAAAGATTTGTTGAATGGAAATCAATAACAGATCGGACGATGCTTTTGTCTCTCGTTTGACTTACTAATTTTACTGATGTAAATTAATTTTGCATTTTGAAAACCTCATGGGATAAATATTAAGTAAATTTTCAAAGACTGGTAAGTAACTGCATGGAATTGTGGGAATGTTTGGGTTGCCAACGCAGTCCCATGTCCAGTCACATAGATGCATGTCCCTTAGATCAGCTCAATATTCCACGCAGGAAGGAGTTCGTTACCTTATGCGATGACGTCCACCTATTGTAAAGAGTTGTCGCATACAAAAGTATCCAACTTGCGGTTCAGGGGAACTAGCAATTTACCGTTAAGCTGATGTTACACGGGGGATAACATATAACATGCCACGTACGACAATTTTTGGATTCGGCAACGCGTTGCAAGTTTTCGATTCAGCTTCAAAAACTCGCGACGCAGAAAGGTGAATTTTTTAAAAGTAGATTCGTGTAACGTCATCGACGATTTTTAACGCAACGCACACCCAAAATGCAGTTCAATACTCTTTTAGAAGCGAGGCGATGTCAGCAATAAAAGATGGCCGAGCTTTGACAATGGACGACGAGCTCTTTGCGCGAGGACTGGTGACGATGTTGTTCTTTTAAAAGTCGTCCCGTGTAACATGTTGATTTTTGAACGAACGCTGCGCAAAAAGTTGACTCTTGCAACACGTATTAAAAATCGACGAGTCGTATCGCTAAAAATCGTCGTTGCGAATCGTCCCGTGTAACATCAGCTTTAATATTTGATTATTTTTGCCAAGTCTCGCTTTAATGGTATTTGTGAGCAAGCAGGCAGCAAAACGCGTCAAAATTAATTATAAAACTAGCAATTGCAAAATGCACTTACGAATTCTAAGTCTAGTCCATTGAGAGCAGTGTTATTGACTCTGTTTGTTGGAAAGTCTAGCGTTCTCCTAGGCAACCAACCGCTGGACTCATTGAATTAGAGGGGAGGGTTACAAATGTTCACTATAAATAATATAAATGTAGTTATTTCTCGATGTTGTGAAAAGATAATAATAAATAATTATGGTACGAGGTTAAAGTTGACCAATTTTTGAAACTCGATATATATATATATATTATAACAAAATATCGTGATTTCTTACAGATTAGTGGCGAGACACCAACAAATCACGATATTTTTTTGTTATAATCGAGTTCAAAAATTGGTTTAACATTTGCCAAGAAAGTGAGCCATGTTGACAAATGCAACATAAAGGCGCATAAGCAGACTATTATTTACCGCTTACCGTAATGCGCATCATTTGTAGGCAGATATCTCGACCAACCATAAAGGGGGAAATGATTTGAATGATAATGAGTCATATTTCTTGAATATTGAATACTTTTACTATATGTAATCATTAGTGTAGGTAGRTGCAAGTTAGATACGGATCTCTTTCTAGGATGTAGGAAGAACCATCCTAAGATTCTACCCCCCTAACCCCCCTCCCCTGCTATTACATTCATGTTTAATATTAATCTAGTTTTTGCATTCGTGGTAATTTTTAGTAATGAYATAACAAACGTTTTACTTTTGGGTTCCAGTGCTACTGACAGCTAACAAAGCCATTTTCAGCACTGTATCTTCTTGATTACTGTTTGCATTAGAGTGCAAACAATTAATCCGTGAAACACTAATTACTAAATAGTACAAAATAGTGYTAATTAAACAATAGAAAACAATGGAATTTGCATGAAATTGTGCTATTTAGTATTACTAAAGTTTCACGGTTATATCGTTTGCACTMTATCTTTCTATTCACCTAACTTTAAATAAATATTGATTTTGTAAAAGTTTTAATTTTTTATTTATTTGATCACCCATACACATTTTAATAAAACTGAATAAACTCTATTCTTTTTCCTCTTTATTGTTAAAAATATTAACTTCTGGGCCCATCAATTTGAAGGGAAAACATTAAACCCTAACCTCTGAAACATTTGCATAATTTTGGAACTGTCATGGGGATTTATTGCTAAACCAAGAAGGGGTTACAGAATCCTTAAAAACTTTCCACAACGCATCACCAGTTTCTTTTTGGATTGTTGTATCCTGAACTACTTGGTGTGTGACATTCTTTCCCAGTTCAACAGCCTTGCTTGTGACAACAGAAGAGATTACCAAATTAGCTAAAGATTCAGCCATGAATTCTTTTAGTTTTGGGTCCTCAAGAAGGCTTTTTATCATCTGGGTACAAGCTGCCCTTGTACTTTCATCAAGMACTAACTCTTTAATATACCTTAGTAATAAGGACCTTATTTCGTCTCTATTTAATAAGTCTCTCAAAGTCACAGCTGCAAGATCAGATACTTTTTGGTTCGTTGAAGGATCTCTCAGCACATAGAGAGTTAAATCAAYGGCAGAGCTCCTTAAATCTTCTCTGTTTAGAACACTTGTGATGAAGTCGCTTGCAAGGCGTGAGGTTTCTGGATCATTAATGATATCTTGCAGTACGATCTTGGTTATTTCATTTGCCTTATTCACTACATTCTCATCACCTGTATCAAAGTAAAAGTTGTTTCATATATTTAAGATTTGGCAATGCTTTCTTGTGGCCAGCGATGGAATATCCCACTCATAGAAGTAAAGGAAGTACCGTGTGATATTACATGGTAAATTACTTGAAACCATTGTATAACTAGTATATATATCTTACGATTATTACATTTTATATAGCTTATAGTTAATTGTTTTAGTTTTTAGAATTTCGTYCTGTGTATAAAATATAAAGCATGTAAAGCAGGGACATTACCAGGGATCTTGCAGGGGAGGTGCACAGGCAATGATTTGCAGAACCAAAAAAAAAAAAAAGGAATAATGGGTGAGTGGTTCTTAAAAAATGCTATAATATGTAGATGGAAAGTGGTTTTCATTTAATCAAAAAACATTTACATGCAATTTTAATGCAAAAGGAGATAGATGAGCGGACCTTAAGCTTTTATGGGGGGGGGGGGGGGTGCACGTGCACCCTGCAGGGCTGTCAACCCTCAAGATATTCAAATCTGGAGAATTGATAGGAAAGGGACATGACGTCACAGCGCGTCAAAAAGCTCGCGAAAAGACGTCTTCCGCTTTGTAACATTTGATGTGATTGGTTTATTTCTGACTAATCAGATTATCRCTTATATTACAATGGCCTGCTTGCAAGAACAGTTTATGAGGAACGTTTTGATTTTGTTAGCGATGTAAAATAACACAAACAACATGAAATAATTGGAATTTTATGGCTGTGAAAGTCTAGTCTCATAAGACAAGAAATGGTCAGCTTCGGGGATTATCCGGGAGATTTGATACTCTAATCTGGAGACCRGGAGACACGGTCCAAAATCTGGAGACTCCCGGTTTATCCGGGAGAGTTGACAGCCCTGACCCTGTGCTCCCCCTGGTTATGGCCCTGTGTAGGTATAAGTAGAGGCTTTAAGATACATTTGTCATTTCATTTCATGTCCATAGTTTCATTTTCATTAATTCCATTCCCATTTTATCTCAATTCAATGTCCTCAAACTCTAGAAGGGGTTTCAAATGGCTGAYGCATACTTGATAAGCCTACTTCAATACCTGATTAGTATTATTACCATAAATTTTACTCACAATGCCAATATTGTGATTGGCTGAAAACATACAGACAACTCAACCTCATCCAATAATCGCTGATTAGAGAAAAGCATAATATACAGTAAACTTGTTCTTAAACAATAATATTGATATTATTATTTATGTAATATATTCATGTAACTTCTATACCTAAAGATCGGCTTGCTACACCTGCAACTTCATCTGCGACATTTTCCCGTACTTCTTCCCTAAAGAGATAAACCGTTGCTAACAAGACAGCAATGGCAGCCAAGCCCCAACGTAGCACATTATAACCCTTTACACGCATCCTTTCCTCTAGTTCATGAAGCCTTTGAACGACACTTGCAGCACTAATGTGAATAGAATCTGGGCCTTGGCTAATATGGTCTGGTTTTTGTGAATAATTCCGAACTTGTGGATGAATTTTTAGCGGGGTTTTTGAGGAACTCCCAAGCCACTTGCAAAACCGAGGTGCTTCATTCAGACTCCTCCAGCGCCTCCAGTTTTGGCTTAAAACCGAAAAACTACCGCGAGGATATTGCTGTGTTGACAAATATAATTGCCGTATAGGATATAATTCCAAACTGTTTCTTTTWCCACATAAAAACTGCATGGAAAGTTTAAATCTGCACAAAATTTTCGCCATTTTTTCTTGAGCAYACTTGCTCCCGCGTTCTTGACCCCAGCGGTGTTATGTAATAGCGCGTGTTACGATCACCAAAAAAAACAAGATGGCGGAMGAGGAGAGCTTTTCATGGGAAACAGAGGATCAACAAAAAGCAAGATTACAGTTTGTAGAGACATGGAAAGATCATTTTGAGYCAGATAGATTAGCAGGGCTTTCAATGGTCTGGTTAAATATGAAGTTTCTTGGTTGTAGATACCCAAAAGAGGTGGAACAATTGGTCACAGATTTAGAACGAAAAGCTCCGATTTTTGTTCCAAAACGCTTTAACGAAATTACTTTTAAAAAGGCACAAATTATCGAGAATTTAGTAATTTATGAACCACCGAGTGACGATACTTCGCGGAACTCTATATCTATATTATTTGAAAGCTGTCAGAAGTCTAAAAAGAGTCTTTCATTTGAGGAGTTGCCGATGGCCTCAGGAGAGTATCGATTTGCGGTAGTGATCGAAGATAAACATATTGCAAATGGAGAAGCGATAAATAAGAAAGATGCGAAAAAAGTTGCTGCTRACAATGCATTAGAGGTACTAAAACCCTGTCAAAGAGTTGTCCAGAAAAGAAAAATTGATCATGAAGCAGCTACAACGGTGTCAAGGAGYGAACTCACTAAAAAAGCTTATGAAGAAGCCCCGAGCATACCAGAGAGCAATGTTGGTAACCAGTTACTAAGGAAAATGGGTTGGAAGGGTGTAGGTGGTGTTGGTAAGTCAATGTTGGTAACCAGTTACTTTATTTTCCTAATCTGCTTTTCTTCCCTTCCCYTCCCCCCCTCCCCCGGGAAAAAAAGGGGGAAAGGGTTGGTTGGGCATGTCAATAATAATCTGTGCATCATATGAGGCRGGTCATTGATTTGCAAAATCCTTCACTCACTCTAAATTCACTCAATTCCTAATTTTATGTTTTTATTTTCTGTTTAAGGTAAAGAATGTCAGGGTATAGCGGAACCAATCCTAGTATTGGAAGCGGATGGTAAGAAAGGTCTTGGAACATTGCAAGCACAGGATCTTCATCGTGGCACAATCAACAAGGTTTTAATAGATTTTTTAAATAGTACTGATACTGACATGAAGTTTTCTTCTGAACTTTCAAAAGAGGATAGAGCAGAAGTGCACAGTCTTTGTAAAAAATATGGACTAAAACATCGTTCACATGGCTTGGGAGAAGACAGGTATTTAGTTGTTAGTAAGAAACAGTAGRTGAAGGGGTCGCATAAGAGAGCACCTACTGTCCATTTGCACTTGAACGTTTGGCATCCCAAAGAATTATACATATTGGTCAAGTATTTATGGTATGTTATTGCTTTGCAGCCAATCSAGGGGATTTGCTGCTTTGCACGTAAAAATGCTAAAGCAAAAATTAAAACTTCCATATTTTAAATGTGTTTTTTTACATGGCTGAGTTAAGGCCCTGGTCTCAGTCCTATACATCACTTAGACATGATAGGATGATGATGGCATGGCTGAGGAGGAATTATTTGAAGTAGTTTTTGAGGGGGTATATTTTAGAACTTTAAGAGCTTTCTGGGAGTCGAAGGGTCTACCACCACATGGGCCCACTCCATTGGAGAGGATGATTTGGATAATAGTTATCCAAATTATCCTCTMCAATGGAGTAAGCTCTTGTGGTGGTATACCATTTGACTCCCAGAAAGCTTCTAAAGTTATTTTAAAAGATTACATGTACTGCTCAAGAGCTGAAGCAATCTGACCTGGAATGTTGAATGTAATATGTTCACCATGGAAGGTCCAAACGAGTAACTAAAATCTAAAGGTTTTGAATATCTATATACTGTAATAATAAAGTACAGCTGTTGGTTAGAAGTAGGAAGCATTTACAACCGTTTTCATATCTGATCAATGAAGTACAAATGTTGCAAATGATAGCTCCATTTTGCTTATTACTCTAGTTATGATGAACTTGTCACTCGTGTTGGTCGTTTGTTAACCAATAATCTATTTATTCTTTGTGATAAACATTGCAATAGCCAGTAAATACCAGTTACTTACATTCAATATACATTTCAATAGACAGTTATATAATTTTTAYACTAGTTGATCTACCCTGTCAATAGAAATTTTTAAAGATATACATTTACAAATTTGAAATGCGTTTTCATTTACGTAAGAGTGTTACATTGCTACGAGTTATTGGAAAATGTCGAAATGATTTGTGATTGCGTGACCTTGACTATTTGACAATGCGTGACCTTGCTGCCATCGTACATCAATTAGTACCATAGGTCACGCGATATCTACACGTTATCAGTCAATAAGGATTTTAAAAGGCCCCGAGGGAAAGAAATTCGTAATTTTTGTGATATTTGTGTTATCTTAACTATTGTAAATACAGAATAATATTTATAAGCATATGTCTGAGATTATTATTATTATTATTATCGTGTACACAGAATAATATTCATAAGTATTATATATTTGAAATAGATGATATCCCGTAAACATTGAACTGCTCGGATACGCAAAATAAATAAATCCTCTAGAAAATATCAAATTAAGTTTTAGATGTAACACATCCAATAATATTGATAAATTTTGGAGCCGATTTTGACACTTCAAACAACACCAACATCAATCAAGGAGGTTTTTTTGCTCACTTTGATCGGCCGCGCTTGGAATTGCTTTTTTCTTAGTTCATTCGTAAGACATACATACATGTCTGCCTCGCTTGATATTCCATTCAGCATTTTCTGCAAGTGTCKTTCTCGTCTTTCAACCATCTTTATCCTGCTGTTAGCAGCTCTAAGGTTCATTTGCATCACATATAATACAAGGGTTTCCATGCATTTCTTGTGAAAATCTTGGATTCGTTTTGTCTGACACATCTTTTGGATCTGACATTTCGTCTTTGATATCTTATCCTTCGTTGCTTTGACTTTGATGCGATTTCTCATAAGTTCTTCTCTCTTCATCTCTATTTTTTCTTTGCAGTTCTCTTGCTTAAGAGAAGCAGTTAAGATATTATGTTTCGTGTTCTCAATCAAGCGAAAAGCTTTACAGATCTGAGCTTGCAGATTCCACACAGTTACGGGCAGTTCTTGGTGAAATTTTTCAAGTTTCACGCATACCTCAAAATCTACCTGTCGTTGATGCCTCCTTTCTTCTAGTTTAGCTTCAGTTTGTGTATTCAACTGAACGACCCTTTCAAGCTTCTCTTTAGCCTYGTTAACGCGTTCAAGAAGCGCTTTCTTCGATTCTAAAATGTTCTGCAAACGTTGCTTCTTTTCAGAAAGTTGTAAACGTATTTGGGCTTCTCGATTTTCAGTTTCTTCTATCTGAACTGTAAGACTGTCCAGCAAAGATTGCGATTCTGCAAGCTTCTTTTTGGTCTTTCGATTTCTTCTCCTGAACAAGCTTTTTCCTGACAGTCCCATAGCTCTCGAACAAATGTAGAAAGGTTTCTTACGCAGTTTTAAGCTTCCAGAAAACCTACGAAGAGCTGAATATAAGACGTGACCATGTCCAATGTCTCGCCAAATGACTGTGCCAAGAACGAGTAAACTTCAACCTTTGATCGATTGTCAAATAGACTAATGATTGAATAACTATAGATTAGATAATAGCGATCTTGGAATTCCAACAATAACGGAACCGTAATTCTTTGAATAGTGTCCTTAAAAAGGAAATCAATGCTATTGTCAATGATTTTTGTTTAACGGTTGAAATCTTAGAGGAGTAAATTAAAAATACCGAGAAAGTTTTGTGATGTAATACTTGGCTTATAAATGTTGTGGCTGATCTTCGRACTTCACTTCACAAGAAAAGAAAAATCCCTTGCTCCTCTTGCCTTTATATTTAACATACTTATTGATTTCGTTACTCTTATGGAATTTATCCAATTTAGCTAATTTTCCGGTTGGGTACATCTTGAAGAGTCTCGCTTATCGGGCGTTTATTACATGATTTTCTGTCTGGTATTTTAATGTTACGGTGATTAAAACATTGCAATGATGTTACATAACGTTTAAGATAAGAATCTGACGAGTATGGAAGCATATTTATCCTAGAAAAACTCAAAAGATTTTTTCTTCACACATGATGTATTTTGTAATATTTTATGGCACAATATTTTAAGGTTGCAATTAGTAGACCGTTACTTTGCAAAGTTTTAACACTAATTTTGTTTAAACCAAACATTTCACGCTCATTCCTTTTCTTAGTTGCTACAGTTGTTGCTGTTGTTATGTTGCTGTTGTTGCTGCTGCTGTTGTTTTTGTGGTTGTTGTCGTCGTTGTTACTCGTTGAGAGGCTCGCTSATGTTTTCCAGACCAGTTTCCATTCTCCACTGACGTAACTTCGTTTAGCCAATCAGAATCCAGAAKTAATTTCAACTGACTTCTTCTCCCTCCCCTCCCTTAACGCACAATGTCCTGTATCATGATCCGTCCCCCCAATGTTCAACCAAAGTAAACGTTCAAGGTGAGCGGGAGCATCWTCAGGGTAATAGTCCCGCTCGTTTGCTGTTTTTAAAAGGCATCAACATTCCTGCCGTGTACGCGCTACACATCCGGTCACATGATACGTCGGTATTCAGTTCGTTATGTTTTATCGAGGGGTGGGTGGGGAGGAAGGTGTTATCAAACTAGAGAGATTCATTAAGGATGAAGAGGATCAGCAGTGCCTTTGATTCTCTGGATGACAGAAGGGGCACAAAAAGGTCCAGCTTAACAGGACCTTAAAACTTGATTGTTACTCGTAAGTATACGTAATAATGAAGATGCATCGGATACAACTACGGACTCGAGAGTGGGGAGCTGGGAATTTTGCGTGTCTTGTGTTACCTTACACAATTTCGCCGGTCCCTGCTGTGTCGATATAACATCGTGTTCCATTGCTTTGAAACTGTAACTAATGCTTTGCACTTGTAAATTTTAGAGAAATGAAGTGCGCTCTCTTCTCAAGGGTGAAATAAAACATGTTATCTAAGTGACAGATAAAACGATGTTAATACAGTTGACGGTGGAGTTCCCCATTCGTATTTACCGGTAATTTGTTTCCGAGGAAGTTACCCATTAAATTACCATGTAAGTTCTTCCCGCCATTACACATATATTATGGTTCAAATGAGTGTTTTGATTGGACGAAAAAATCCTTAATCAACATGAATTCTTTTTTTTCTGTTTTTCACAAGTCTGTTGTTTGTGGTCTGAAGAAGTGCAGTCCATTTTTCATCTCTTGAAATAAGAATTTTGCAAGGTAAGAAAAAAACTTCATCTTTATTAGCATGATCAGTTTATTAAGCTTTATGAGACGTAGGAGCCAAGGAAACTAGKGGGCTATAGCCCACCCCCTCCCCCACTTTTTGAGAATGATTTTACCGCTTGTAATGATGCTAAAACTATTAGAATCACAATTATAAAACTAACTTCTTATATTCAAAAATAATAATTACTTAGTAGAAGTAGCTATARCATTTGCTATGCTAGCGTATACAACAATCAATGCTAAACAACCTAATTTTCATTTAAGCCCCCTTCCCCCTCCCCAGATAAAAATTGTGCTCCTCAAATGATAGCATTCTTCGTAGGAACGATTTCGCTTTAACTCATATAGAGGTACTTTGGCCGACTTTGAGCGGTGACGATCTTTGGTCCTGAATAAACAACAAGCTTGACTTAGCATCTCTTATGATGTATTTTATGTGAGGCGGGAATATTGGATATCATGTATACACGTCCA